TTCTGATGGTCAGTTTTGAACTAGGATTTTTGTTTTCACCTTTTAAATTAAAACGGAAGATGACATTATCTTCACAAACAAAGCATTTATTGAAGAAAACCACTTTGAAATGTGGTATTTAATTGAAAAATATTTTTAACACAAGATCTGCTGACTGCCCTAATGCAGTCATTATTTATCATCAACATATTACCGACAGGTAAGTTGCCCACATACTTTGTTGAGTCTGTTCTGTACATTAGCAATGAGTCTAAAATGCTCAGCTCTTCAATAAAGTCCCCTTACTCTGCCAAAATGGATAAAAGAATGAGAGGAGGTTTTTATTTCTTTCTTGAAACCCAGCACCGTTTGTTTTTTTCCCCAATGCAATGAGATTGGTCTGAACGTGCTTTCAAAATAAATAGAATTATCACTGTTTCCTAGGTGAGGACACAAGTACAGGGTAACACAATTTGCATAAGTCAATGCCAGAATGGAAAACAAAAAGTGTGCCTCTCAACTCTCTGCAGCTGGCTGTGCAACCTCTCTATAAAATCCTGAAGTTGTGTGGTTATTTTCATTTATTTCAACGTGCTGGATTAAAAATAGTTTTTATTCAATGGCATAAGATGATTTTGCAGCAAAGGTCAGAAGAGTACATGTATTATCTCTAAACAGCAGCTAATAATCTACTAAAAAATAAAGCAAGATATTATTTCTCAGTTGTACCTGGAAGCTGTGCCTAGCGCTGTGATCCATGCCTGGAAAATCCCAGCAAGGAAGGAAAATGGGCTTTTCCTTGTTATCACAAAGTAGAGCAGAGGCAGGAAGATCCCTCCATGGATGAGAAGACCCACAATCACAGTGACCATGTACATGCCAAGTTGTCTAGCAACTACTTCTAAGTCCTTGATTGCAATGATTTTTCCACAAATGAGGCAAGCAATGCCCAAAGGTGAGTACCTGGAGAAAGAGAACAAGCATAGACAAGAACTAGTCTTTGCATTGTAGTTATAAAAATTGTCCTCAACAGAGCAGAGACTGGAGGAAGGGTAAGGGGCTCTCAGGCTCAACACTGAGACGCAGTTCAGGAATTGATGGAAATTCAATGGATAGCCTTCACATCTTTTAAAAAGTAATGGCTTTCTCCAGTAAACGCCCCGACCACTTCATTTTATTCCATCCCCTCAAATGGAATATGCATTTCCTGAAAAGTCTTTGATCCTGGAGTAACGTGATACGAAAATGCTATAATGTTACACAGGCTTGGATCATTACGAAGAGTGGTTTAGTATTCGTTTTTAATCCATAACTTTTACAACCCATTGCTTATCTGGTTTCAGAGAGTCACACTATTTGCTTCAGTTAAACTCTTTGTTGAAACAAATCACTTATCCTGAAGGCTGCAAATGTTTCTGTTATGTTTTTTAAATAATTTGGACAAATGCTTTTTAGTTCATGGATTCTTCATTAATTATGCGCTTTCCTTACTTAGGATAGGGTTTTTGTCACCTCAGCCGTGTGATTCCCCGATGGCATAAACAGAACTTTTAAATAGGGTGATAACAGTAGCACAGGTTGGTAAGATTTGAAATTAATGGATAGTCTTTAAAAAATGTAATAGTGAGAAATGCCTGAAAGTGCATGGATATAATATTTATACCTACACTGGTAAGGATTACTACCTTATATAATTTTAAATTGCATTTATTTTATCTGTTTCATAAAATATAAGCGGAAGGTAATGTGTGAAACAGTGGAGAAACAGTAAACGAAATGGCCCTCTGAAAATAAATGGTAATGTATCCTTTCAAAAGTGATTAGTGATTTAGATGTTTAATTAAAGAAAATACAAAGGAAAATGACTTTCAGAATAAAAATGCTTCATGTTTTATGTAAGAAACATCTTAAGAAACACCTCATGGTCACTCAAGCAGTGCGCCCTAAACCTTGAAAGCCCACTTGAAATGCAAGGCCAGCTGTTACACCAGTTATCATAAAAGCCATGTTTCAATGAACTTGACAAAGCACATCTCTTATAAAGAATTACATGGTGTCAGAGCCAGATGTCTGCTTTGGTTTATGTTCATGCAGCAATACCATGCTCCTGAGAGTCTGGAGTTGCCATGGGAGTTACAGCTCTCTGTGTAGAGAAATCATAAGCCAAACAGAACGTAACCCTGCATAAAAAAGTGCATTTGTCTTTATAAACACACATTTTAAACAATGCTTTTGGCCACGACAGTTCTTTAAAAATTCTAGACAGAGATGAACAAGTGGAATTCTCAACATCAATCTCCTTTCTCAAGAGGAATGAAAAGCACATCAGTAAAAAATAAGCATTTATAGTGAATATCTTGAATCTTGCATGATTTCCTGCCATTGCAACACTACTAGAGACAACTTATACTGTAGGCAAGGTATTGTGTCTGGGGTGTACCAATTGGTGCTAAGTAAGAGCAAATTCTAGCTCTTGAAGTGTTATGAGAGTATAGTCACCATCTCTCCACAGAGCTGAGAGCAGCAGGGTTTTGTAAATAAAACCAATTGCATTTTTATACAGCAAGATCACCTACAGAAAAGCAGAAGCACAACAGGAATGAAAGTAATTGCTTCATGTTCTTTCTTTTGCTTTAGACGTTTCCACATCGCTGTCACCATCTGCATTGCTCTTGCATAAGTCTCCCTTTGAAACACCGATGATGCTGGAGACTTGCACTTTAGGCACCCTGTTTCCTTTTCTATCAACTGTGTCCATCTGGAGCCTCAGAGAAGAGGCATACTGCAGCCCTGTAACTCAGGAAACCTCTTTCAGGGACACCAGGGAATCATGGGGAGCAATGAGGTATGATACATGTGTTATAGTGGAATGGCTATTTCTGCTCTCAAAGGCCTGGGAGATACGAACCACAGGAGTATAATGCTCTGGAAGAAACACCTCAAGAAAAAAGAAAAAAAAAGAGAGAGAATCTACTTCCAGAAATGTGAACAAGGGCTCAGCCTTAATTGGGCAAAATCACTCCCTTGAAGGCAAGCAAGGGAGTGCTATTACAAATGGGCACACTTCAGGATCAGGACAGATAGCTTCCAGTGACCCCACTGTGCAAGGCTGTAAGACACAGATTCCATGGGTGGAGGGACTACACATCACTGAAAACTGCTGGAATTTTATTTGGTGGTAAGGTATTTTTACTGCAGAAGACAGTGAATAAAGTGTGTCTCCAGGCTTCTTTGTAATTGGACCTCCTAGTTAATACCCTAGTATTATGCTAACCTCTCAGGAAGATTTGGATATTCTGATGTGGGGTGTTCTTGCTTGCTTAGGTGTCTTTCTGTGTAATAAACTTCTATAATCAATGTGGCATTTGAAGGCCTTTAATGGTACCTGCATGTCTTGGATTTCATTAATAATAATTCAGAAATATTTCAAATCGAGTTATAAATAATCCTTACCCACTAGAAATAATGCTGCTCTGGTTCTAACAGTCTGTCAGGGCTTTAAAAAATGAACTATTTTATCGCACTGTTTACTAACAAATTGTGGTCACTATATACTATATTAAGGGTTTATAAGGTTGTTTCAAATATTTTTTGTTCTAGAAGTTAAAACTTCAAACTTACCACATGATCATAGTTACCAGCTTCATTACAATCTCATTCAGGATGTTGAAGAAATCCACCATCATCTTGGCCTGTTCTCCCATTTTCCCCATAGCAATGCCAAAAGCAATAAAGAATCCTATCAAACCTATTGTCAAAAAATCACAAGACAAAAGAAAAAAGCATAAGTAAATCCATGTGTTTTAGTAAGGTTTTGAACCTGGTCAACGCCTTGATACAGTTTTCAGAACTAACACCATTTTTAGAACTATAAAGTATTACACACCATTGGCGAGTTTTTAATACAAAGTCACTCTCCCCTTTCATGATCATATTCAGAACATCTTTTATTCTTCAACATTTTACTAACTTCCAGTTTCACAGCCCAACTGTGAATGTTCCTGAATTGATCTGATCATCAATGATACACCCATACCCTGATCTTCTCAGTGACATGCAACTATTAGAAACCTCACAGCCCCTGGGAAATGGGAGAGGAGATACAGTGCTGTACCATGACTCCTCATTGGTGTTAAAACAGTCACTACAGACCAAGAATGTTTTTCTCAAGCTTTACAAAAGCTTCTTGACAGATTCGACCTGCAGACTAATTAATCAGTCTTGGAGTACAGGGAAAGGCAGAAGCAGCCCCGGAACATAAGTTTCACAGGCCAGGAGTATTCCAGTTAGATGAAGAAAGTGGGGGTGGGAGGAGAAGGTGGGAGAACAGAGAGGGACTTTGACAAGGGCATGCAGTGACAGGACACAGGGGAATGGCTTTAACCTGACAGAGGGGAGATTGAGATGAGATATTAGGCAGAAGCTCTTCCCTGTGAAGGTGCTGAGGCCCTGGCACAGGGTGCCCAGAGAAGCTGTGGCTGCCCCGAGAAGCTGTGGCTGCCCCATCCCTGGCAGTGTTCAAGGCCAGGTTGGACACAGGGGCTTGGAGCAACCTGCTCTAGTGGAAGGTGTCCCTGCCTGTGGCAGGGGGTTGGAACTGGATGAGCTTTAAGGTCCCTTCCAACCCAAACTGTTCTAGGATTCTAAGATTCTATGATTTTACTTTAAGCTAAACCACAGAACTCCCATTAAACAGATTAATCTCACTGAAACAAGCTATCAGGGGGTACATAATCATAGAATTCACTAAGAGTAACATTTGGCTCCTAAATTTAAATGCTAAGGTGTGAAAGTCTGGAGTATTGGACTATCAGTGGGAAAACCAAACTGAGTGCCTCTGTCATGTATTACTTTGGAGCTGTACCTCCAATGCTAAGGTTTAACATCCAGCAATTTTCACTGGGATTAGTGACTGATACTGTAACACAGTTTGAATCTTCAGCCAGCCTTTGAGGCTAAATAGTCTGTCATAATACAAGTTCAGCTGTTAAAAAATGCATGAACTCTACTGGGAAATTCCTAAGGAAAAACCCATCAGGACACAAAAGCATTCAAGCGAAGAAAATTTCAGCAACCAGTACTCTGGGAAAAGATAGGCTTTCCCATATCCTCACACCAGGCTTAGCAACCACATTTTTTTCTTCCTCCTTTTTAATCCAATCTCCTGGATATGAAGTAATTTCTTAGCACTAAGCTATCTTTGTTGAGTCACTTGAATAGGGAAGTGAAGCGTATGTTTGTGTGCTCCAGAGCACAGAGAAATTATTAAAAGCTTTTCAGTCAAAGACCAAGGAACTTCCTGGAATTCAGACACTGCATCAGAAAATGTTAGTAGGTGTTTTGTTCGTTAATTCCAAATGAGCTGCTGCATTAGTCATAAGAGTCAAGCTGGTTCATATTTGCAGGAATTTGCCTGGCTTGAACAGTTTATGCAAGCTGGCTGGCAATGCCCCAGTTTTCACTTCTTCATTCAAGACCAAACAAATCTCTGCAACATTTGAGTCATTGGTCAAAATACTACAGCAAATCCCCCACCTAAACTGTGTATTTCCTTTATGTAGGAATTGTATTCACCCTTCTATCTCTTTTCTCATCCGTAACAGTGCCTGCACAAAAAAGCCCAGCACTAAACGCAATGCATCTCTCACATGAGAAATATTATTTCATTTTAATGCATAAGCAGAGCTCTGGGAAAGAAAGAACCGCAGGTGAGGATAACAGCATGAGCAATGAGCTGCTGCCTCATGCAGGGTGCAGTCTGCAGCTTTGAAAGAAAGCAGCTCTTCTGCCCACAGACATTGAATGGAAGGAGGAGCTGCGGAGGCAGCAGGAACAGTGGCTCTTGTAAAGGCAGCTGCTTCGCAGAGAAACAAATCGTCTCTGATCAGCTCTTGACAAGGGCCTGTAGTGACAGGACAAGGGGGAATGGCTTTAAACTGACAGAGGGGAGATTGACATGAGATATCAGGAAGAAGCTCTTCCCTGTGAGGGTGCTGAGGCACTGGCACAGGGTGCCCACAGAAGCTGTGGCTGCCCCATCCCTGGCAGTGTTCAAGGCCAGGTTGGACACAGGGGCTTGGAGCAACCTGCTCT